CAATGCATATATTTAAATTATGTTTTCTGGTCAGGTGTGGTGGCTCACGCCTGTAATCCCAGCACCTTGGGAAATGCCTGTTCTAATTTAGGTCCCTGGGCACAGGCCCCAGGGTGGAGCCCTCGCCAGAGACCCCGCCCTTTTCTACCTAGCAGTTCTCTGCCCCCCTCCCCTATCAAAATGCTTTTTCTGCATCTATTGAGACGATCATGTGATTTTATTTTTATTTGTTATTTTACGGTCTCACTCTGTCGCCCAGGCTGGAGTGCAGCAGTACGATCTCGGCTCACTGCAACCTCTGCCTCCCGGGTTCGAGCAATTCTTGTGCCTCAGCCTCCCCAGTACCTGGGATTGATTACAGGTGTGCGCCACCAGACCCAGCTAATTGTTGTATTTTTAGTAGAGATGGGGTGTCACCATGTTGGCCAGGCTGGCCTTGAACGCCTGACCTCAAGTGATCCACCCACCTCAGCCTCCCAAAGTGCTGGGGTTACAGGCACGAGCCACTGCACCTGGCTGACTATGCGATTTTTGTTTCTAATTCTGTATTCCTCCATTCAACAAGTAGAAGTGTCCTGCAGTGCCTGGCCACCTGGGAGCCAGGCTGGTGTGAAACCCCAGCTCCCCGACTTACAGCTGGAGCAACAGCTTCACCTCTTTCTGTCTTGGTTTCTTCATTCCTAAAGACGGTGCATGAGCTCAACCCTGCACCTGCTCCCAGGAGTCACCGTCGGGAGTAAACGCCATCATAAGCCCTGTAAAGCTCCCAGGAGACCGCCTGGCGTGTGGTCGCAGCTTGATCTGCCTTTGCTGTTATTTTTCATCAAGTGGCACTTAGAGAGTAAACAGGGACCCCTGGCGAGCTGACAGCCTGCTGCTGGAAACAGATACTAATCACATCACTGAAGTAATGAGCGTGCAATTAGAAACCAAGGTAAGCGCCAGGAGACAAGATAGTCCGCAATTCTTTTTTGTTGTAGTTGTTTGACTTTGTTCCCAGCCAGGTCAGGGAAGCCTCAAGAGACGTCTGCCATGGGGGTGGTGGGGATGGCTGGTCTTGAGGGAATGGCTCTTTCTTTTCTTTCTTTCTTTCTCTCTCCT